TGTGTGTGTGTCTGTGTGTGGTGTGTGTGTTGTGTGTGTGTGTGTGTGTGTGTGTGTGTGTGTGTGTGTGTACTCACCAAATTGTGGTTGCAGGGGTCGAGACTCGGCTTCCGGCCCCGCCTCTTCACTGATCGCTACTGGATCCTCTCTCTCTCTGCTTCCTGAGCTTTGTCATACCTCTTCTTAAAACTATGTATGGTTCCTGCCTCCACTACTTCACTTGCTAGGCTGTTCCACTTGCTGACAACTCTATGACTGAAGAAATACTTCCTAACGTCCCTGTGACTCGTCTGAGTCTTCAGCTTCCAGTTGTGACCCCTTGTCCCTGTGTCCCCTCTCTGGAACATCCTATCTCTGTCCACCTTGTCTATTCCCCGCAGTATCTTGTATGTCGTTATCATGTCTCCCCTGACCCTTCTGTCCTCCAGTGTCGTCAGTCCGATTTCCCTTAACCTTTCCTCGTACGACATTCCCTTGAGCTCTGGGACTAGCCTTGTTGCAAACCTTTGTACTTTCTCTAACTTCTTGACGTGCTTGACAAGGTGTGGGTTCCAGACTGGTGCTGCATACTCCAGTATGGGCCTAACATACACAGTGTACAGTGTCTTGAACGATTCCTTATTAAGGTATCGGAACGCTATTCTCAGGTTTGCCAGGCGCCCGTATGCTGCAGCAGTTATTTGGTTGATGTGTGCCTCCGGTGATGTGCTCGGTGTTATGGTCACCCCAAGGTCTTTCTCCCTGAGTGAGGTCTGTAGTCTTTGTCCACCTAGCCTATACTCTGTCTGCGGTCTTCTTTGCCCCTCCCCAATCTTCATGACTTTGCATTTGGCTGGATTGAATTCGAGAAGCCAGTTACTGGACCACATGTCCAGCCTGTCCAGGTCTCTTTGCAGTCCTGCCTCATCCTAGTCCGATTTAATTCTTCTCATCAACTTCACGTCATCTGCGAACAGGGACACTTCAGAGTCTATTCCTTCCATCATGTCGTTCACATATATCAAAAATAGCACTGGTCCTAGAACTGACCCCTGTGGGACCCCGCTCGTAACAGGCGCCCACTGTGATACCTCTTCACGTACCATGACTCGTTGCTGCCTCCCTGTCAGGTATTCCCTTATCCATTGCAGTGCCCTCCCTTTTACGTGCGCCTGATCCTCCAGCTTCTGCACTAAGCTCTTGTGGGGAACTGTGTCAAAGGGCTTCCTGCAGTCTAGGAAAACGCAATCTACCCACCCCTCTCTTTCGTGTCTTACTTCTGTTACCTTGTCATAAAACTCCAGGAGGTTTGTTATACAAGATTTGCCTTCCATGAACCCATGCTGGTTTTCATTTATAATCTTGTTCCTTTCCAGGTGTTCGACCACTCTCCTCCTGATAATCTTCTCCATGACTTTGCACACAATACATGTCAGAGACACAGGTCTGTAGTTTAGTGCCTCGTTTCTGTTTCCTTTCTTAAATATGGGGACTACATTAGCTGTCTTCCATTCCTCAGGTAGTTGCCCAGTTTCAGCAGATGTGTTGAAGATTGTGGTTTGAGGCACGCACAGCATCTCTGCTCCTTCTCTAAGGACCCATGGGGAGATGTTGTCCGGTCCCATCGCCTTTGAGGTGTCAAGGTGTGTGTGTGTCTGTGTGTGTGTCTGTGTGTGTGTCTGTGTGTGTGTGTGTGTGTGTGTGTGTGTGTGTGTGTGTGCGCGCGTCTGTGTGTGTGTGTGTGTGTGTGTCTGTGTGTGTGTCTGTGTGTGTGTCTGTGTGTGTGTCTGTGTGTGTGTCTGTGTGTGTGTGTGCACGCATGTGTGCACGCTTGTGTATGTGTGCATGTGTGTGTGTGTGTGTGTGTGTGTGTGTCTGTTGTGTGTGTGTGTGTGTGTGTTGTGTCTGTGTGTGTGTGTGTGTGTGTGTGTGTGTGTGTGTGTGTGTGTGTGTGTGTGTGTGTGTGTCTGTGTGTGTGTGTGTGTGTCTGTGTGTGTGTGTGTGTGTGTGTCTGTGTGTCTGTGTGTGTGTCTGTGTGTGTGTCTGTGTGTGTGTCTGTGTGTGTGTCTGTGTGTGTGTCTGTGTGTGTGTGTCTGTGTGTCTGTGTCTGTGTGTCTGTCTGTGTGTCTGTGTCTGTGTGTCTGTCTGTGTGTCTGTGTCTGTGTGTTGTGTGTGTGTGTGGTGTGTGTGTGTGTGTGTGTGTGTGTGTGTGGTGTGTGTGTGTGTGTGTGTGTGTGTGTCTGTGTGTGTGTGTGTGTGTGTGTGTGTGTGTGTCTGTGTGGGTGTTTTGCGTGCGTGTGTGTGTGTGTCTGTGCGTGTGTGTGTGTTTCTGTGCGTGTGTGTGTGTCTGTGTCTGTCGTGTGTCTGTGTCTGTGTCTGTCGTGTGTCTGTCGTGTGTCTGTGTCTGTCGTGCTGTGTCTGTGTCTCGTGTCTGTGTCTGCGTGTCTCGGTGTTGTTCTGCCGTGTCTCGTGTGTCTGTGTCTGCCGTGTCTCCGTGTCTGTGTCTGCCGTGTCTCGCGTGTCTGTGTCTGCCGTGTCTCGCGTGTCTGTGTCTGCCGTGTCTCGCGTGTCTGTGTCTGCCGTGTCTCGCGTGTCTGTGTCTGCCGTGTCTCGCGTGTGCCTCTGCCGTGTCTCGCGTGCGCCTCTGCCGTGTCTCGCGTGCGCCTCTGCCGTGTCTCGCGTGCGCCTCTGCCGTGTCTCGCGTGCGCCTCTGCCGTGTCTCGCGTGCGCCTCTGCCGTGTCTCGCGTGCGCCTCTGCCGTGTCTCGCGTGCGCCTCTGCCGTGTCTCGCGTGCGCCTCTGCCGTGTCTCGCGTGCGCCTCTGCCGTGTCTCGCGTGCGCCTCTGCCGTGTCTCGCGTGCGCCTCTGCCGTGTCTCGCGTGCGCCTCTGCCGTGTCTCGCGTGCGCCTCTGCCGTGTCTCGCGTGCGCCTCTGCCGTGTCTCGCGTGCGCCTCTGCCGTGTCTCGCGTGCGCCTCTGCCGTGTCTCGCGTGCGCCTCTGCCGTGTCTCGCGTGCGCCTCTGCCGTGTCTCGCGTGCCCTTGCCGTGTCTCGCGTGCCTCTGCCGTGTCTCGCGTGCGCCTCTGCCGTGTCTCGCGTGCGCCTCTGCCGTGTCTCGCGTGCGCCTCTGCCGTGTCTCGCGTGCGCCTCTGCCGTGTCTCGCGTGCGCCTCTGCCGTGTCTCGCGTGCCCTCTGCCGTGTCTCGCGTGCACCTCTGCCGTGTCTCGCGTGCGCCTCTGCCGTGTCTCGCGTGCGCCTCTGCGTGTCTCGCGTGCGCCCTGCCGTGTCTCGCGTGCGCCTCTGCCGTGTCTCGCGTGCGCCTCTGCCGTGTCTCGCGTGTGCCTCTCTGTCGTGTCTCGCGTGTGCCTCTCTGTCGTGTCTCGCGTGCCTCTCTGTCGTGTCTCGCGTGCCTCTCTGTCGTGTCTCGCGTGCCTCTCTGTCGTGTCTCGCGTGCCTCTCTGTCGTGTCTCGCGTGCCTCTCTGTCGTGTCTCGCGTGCCTCTCTGTCGTGTCTCGCGTGTCTCTGTCGTGTCTCGTGTGTGTGTCGTGTCTCGTATGTGTGTACTGTCTCGTGCGTGTGTCTCTCGTGTATTTACACGCATTTAGATTCATCAGCCTACAGGTCAGCCTTGTCACTGACAAAGTTGGGGAAGCTGGGTGGATAAAGTAATTGGAGGGAACCAATGCTTTAGACAGAAGCATGGAGAACATAGAAAAAATTAAAGTTTAAAAAATTAAGGAAATTAAATGGGAGGACGAGGTAGAGAAAAAGAGTTGGGTAGAAAAGGAAGAGGTTATAGGGAGAGGAGGAAGTGAAACAGAGATGAAGAGTGTAGATGAATGGTTCAGAGAACCGACAAGTTGATAAATTAGACATGTGCAACATGTTGCACATGTGTAATTTATCAGAGATGAAGAGGATGAACATTAGATGTAGTATAGAAAAATGGAGGGAAACGTGCAAGATAATGGAGGGAGAGGAAGATGCAAGAGGGAGAGGAGGAAAATGCAGGTGGTGATAAAGGAAAATGAAGCTATGAGAGGGAGAGTGGGACAAGAAATAAACATAAGGACAGGCATGAAAGGCTGGAATAATTTTGGGAACAAGAGGTACAGGTAAGATGTGTGCAAACTTTTCCAGACAAGTTCTTTGGGAACACTACAAATCTGGCCATTAACAAGTTGCGATGAACATAATGGTGGTCCAGGATGGACCAAAATTTCGTCTGGTTTCAATAACAATTAATGAGTTGTTACAACCATGGTATTCTGACTTAAAAAAAAAAAACTAATTTTTTTCAGTTTTGACGACAAAAATTAAGAAATTTTAACCAGATAAGTAACTGCTATTTTCACGTCTTCCTCACACCTTTAGAAATAAAGAAAACTCAAATACTCAGGCTAGATATGCCCAAATTTTCCCAAACATTGGTCACCATCATCAGCTATTTACAGCTTCTAACAGATTACTCAAGTTTTGGCAATTAGATATTATCAAAGAGACGAATTCTCCTTTTCAGCTAAAGTACAAAAATAAAGTATACACATATCGTACTCATACCCTAAGCCACAAAATTCTCACGAAGCAAATAACTTTCCGTCATTTTTAAATCTGCACTGTTTTCAAGTGTTATCTTTGATCAAGGAGACTTAAATTTTCCTCAGAAGGGATAGGGTGGAAAACTTAACACAATCTCCTCAGGTACTCCAATAAGAGTTAGTGGTCAGAAAAAGAACACACCTTTATTTCAGGGCTGCTGAAGTACAGCAAAAGAAAGAAGTCAGATCAAAGAAAAACAGCCTAGAACAATGGCAAGTTTTATCAAAGCAAAGTAACTGGATACAAATCTTTGTATAAAATATTTTGAAAGTTGAAATGGGATTAAGACCACAAAAACCACCTGCTTCTGACCAAACCATGGCCTTCTGCAGAATAATACGGTTTTATAAGATAGTTACAGCACAAAGCTGCCCATTTTCTCATGTGCAACACAGTGGTTGGAAATTTATAAGTGGAATACTTACCGGAGGGGGCGGGAGCTCACTCTCGCTGCTACCACGCTGGTATGCACCACGACCTGGAAGAAAATGAAATAATGTCTAGCAAACAGAAATTACTAATACAAGAAATTAGTGCAAATTTATATATCTCAAGTTTTATAAATATTATAACGCACTTACTTTCACTCTGCCAGGGATCAGGACGACCATCCCAGGTACTGTCAGCCCAGCTACCGCCCATACCAGATGAGCTATTGCCTCCACGACTACCTGCCATACCAGACCGGCCCCACGATTCACTTCCACCTCCACGCCAACTGCTCCCCCCCTGGGATCTGTATGTGTCACTGTTGCGGCGCCAGTTGCTACCTTCAGTACCCTGGTAGCCACCACTTCCAAAGCTATCTTGGCTATTTTCATTTTTTAACATGTCACTCGCACGTTCCTGGCAATTAAAAATGAGAATTGTTTTATTACCTTAATGTGTTAGCAGAATTTCAGTACTAATTATAATAAAAAGTATTCACAAACCCATACTTTGGAATAAAAACTAACATATTTAGGTTCACCCTGAACTATTATCAGTCAACTCTCTAATGAGAATAGCTTTGGTACAACTGTGAAGGTTTCTCTGAAAGCAACACATGCCCATCCCTAACACTGAAAATAGGCCACCAAAAAAAATAAAGAGTACACACTTCCCCCCCAAAAAATTATCAACTAAATCGGACTGAAGCCACTAGCTGGCAAAACGTTTCCTCAATAAACATTTCCCAAATGTTGCACAAGTACTCATTCTTCAATATTATCAACAAGTCTGTTAGAGGTTTAACAGCTGACAAACTGCTTAAAATAGTCAACAGTTGACTAAGTAAGTATAACCATGCATGGATGATCACTAACAAATTTGATCTAGAAAAGACCTAATACATGCTGTCTGGCAATAGAACAAGCCAAACATTGAAATGGATAACACAAAGACCAAAAATTACATGTTTACAACTAAACCAAGTTAAAAGCCACTTCTCACATCCAACAAATTACAAGTAAGCACAGTATCAAACTTAAGGTACACTCTTAAAGTATATATTGCTCTATACACATTTATCTACCATACCCATCTCCATTTTTATATATGGGGGGGGGGGGGGGTCAGTTGCAAAACATTGCTAACTGATTAGTATAGTGGAAGTTAGTCGTCAGTATACCGAACCACCTTTAACGCTTTAAATTTACTAAATATAAAAACAAGAGCAGGTGAGTTAGTAGATGGGGGAGTTGGAGGTATTGCAAAGATGGCAAAAATATTTTGAGGAACTGTTAAACGTTGAAGAGGAGGAGGTAGTAATTTCATGTACTGGCCAGGCAGGTATAACATCTTTTAGGAATGAAGAAGAGCCAGATGTGAGTGTGGGGAAGGTGCATTAGGTATTAGGAAGAATGAAAGGGGGTAAAGCAGCTGAAACTGATGGGATCATGACAAATGTTAAAGCAGTGGGGTACATATTTTTGGAGTGGTTGGTAATTTTGTTCAATACATGTATGAAAGAGTAAGGTACCGAGGGATTGGCAAAGAGTGTATAGTTCCTTTTTGTAAAGGGAAGGAGGACAAGAGAAATTATAAAAATTATAGGGAAATAAGTTTACCAAGTATACAAGGTGAAGTGTGTGGTAGGGTCATCATTGAAAGAATTAAAGGTAAGACAGAGAGCAGGACTGCAGATGAACAAGGAGGCTTTGGAATGGGTAGGGGATGTGTATATCAAGTGTTTACATTGAAACATATAAGTGAACAACATTAAGATAAAGGTAGGGAAGTTTTCATTGCATTTATGGATTTAGAAAAGGCATATGATAAAGAAGCAATGTGGTAGATGTTGCAAGTATATTCAATAGGTAGTAAGTTACTAAATGCGGTTTATAGAGTTTTTAAAAGGACAGTGAGGCTCAGATTAGGGTGTGTAGGAGAGGGAGATTACTTTCCAGTAAAAGTAGGCCTTAGAGGGGTGTGTAAATTCACCATGGTTGCTTAACGTATTTATAGATGGAGCTGTAAAAGCAAATGCTAAGGTGTTGGGAAGAGGGGTGAGATTAAATTATGGGGAATCAAATACAAAAATAGCAGTTGACAGCTACTTTTTGCTGATGATACTGTGCTTTTGGGAGATTCTCAAGAGAAGTTGCAAAGGTTAGTGGACAAGTTTGGGAGGGTGTGTAAAGGAAGAAAATTGAAAGTGAACCAAGATGAGGGTATCAAATGAGTTAGGAAAAGAAGAACTGGACATCACATTGGAGGGGATATAGAAGTAAATGTGTTCAGGTATTTGGGAGTAGATATGTCAACAAATAAGTTTATGAAGGACAAGGTTAACCAAAGAGCTGATGAAGGAAAAAAAGGCGTGGTGCACTGAGGTGTCTGTGGAGAGAAAAGAAATGTTATCCATGGGGGCAAAGAAGGGAATGTACTGGGTTATGAATGCTGCAGTGAGGAGGTGGCTAGACGCAGTGGAGATGTCATGTCTAAGGGTAATGTGTGGTGTAAATATTATGCAGAATTTACAGTGTGGAACTCTGGAGGTGGTGTGGAGTGACAAAGAATTATTCAGAGGGCTGAAGAGGGGTTGCAGTGGTTTGGTCATTTAGATAGGCTGGAGGAAAATAGGATAACGAAGGGTGTATAAATCAGCAGTGGAGGGGAGGAGGAAGGGTTCATCCCACAAAAAGATGGAAGGAGGGGGTAAGAGATTGTGTGTGCATGAGGCTTGAACATGCAGCAAGTGTGCATGAGCATGTTACATAGGAGTGAATGAAGACGAACGGTTTTTGGGATCTGACGAGCTGTTGAGTGTAAGCAGGGTAATATTTTGTGAAGGGATTCAGAGAAACCAGTTAGCCGGACTTGAATCCTGGAAATGGGAAGTACAATGTCTGCACTTTAAAGGAGGGGTTTGAGATATTGGCAGTTTGGAGCGACATCTAAACTGTCATATCTAAGTGCCTCTGCGAAGACAGTGATTATGTGTGAATGATGGTGAAAGTTTCTTTTTTTGGGTCACCCTGCCTTAGTGTGAGATGGTCTATGGGTTTAGAAAAAAAACCCATACATTTTCCTGGTCACTAAATCTTCAGGACACAGGACTAGACTACTCAAGATTCAAGATGTATCCAGAACTTCAACAGCACTCATGGGCATAAAACAAGATATGCCTCTAAAATCCCATACATACACCAATTTGTGTATATTATATTTAACCCTTTCAGGGTTTCGGATGTACTAGTACGGCTTACGCACCAGGGTTTTTGATGTATTAGTACGCCTATATTCTAGCGCCCTCAAATCTAGTGAAAGCTGGTAGGCCTACATATGAAAGAATGGGTCTATGTGGTCAGTGCACGCAGTATAAAAAAAATCCTGCAGCACATAGTGCGTAATGAGAGGAAAAAAAACTTTGACCGTGTTTTTGGATTAAAACAGCGACTTTGCACTGTATTTTCGTATGGCATTTGTTGTTGTATTCAAGTTTTCCTGGTCTCATTTTATAAAATGTAAGACATATTACAGAAATTGAGATGATTTTGACTGGTTTTACAATGAAAAGTACCTTGAAATTGAGCTCAAATTAGCAGAAATGTTCGACTTTTACCCAAGTTCAAAAGTAAACAAATCATACTAAGCGTCCAATACACGTCAACTGGTGAGTCTAATATTCTTTCACAAGTGCGCCGATATTATTTATACCATTTCTACACTAATAAAGTAGTCTGCATAACAGTAAATCTTCTATTTTTTTGAGAATAAAAATTCAAAGTGGAAAGCAAAAGAATGTAAGAGGGGTGTGGGGACATGACTAATGAACAGAGGAAATGTTATTTTAGTTCCAGGAATGTCCTTCTTGTTTATTCTGGACCCTATTTGGAAATGGGCATCTTTTGAAATTTGTGTGAAATTGGCAAAATTGCTAAATTCTGACCACTGTATTGGATAGTTGAAATTGGTAAATGGGTGGTTTCTTGTACTCATTCGAAACAAAAAAAGGAGTTCTAGCGAAGTAGTTATGATTTTGTCAACTAGTACACTGGAATTGGCTGAAAATAGGGCTCAAAGTGGGCAAAATTGCCGATGCATAAACATCGTCGAGACCACTAACTTCGCGAGAGCATAATTCCGTAAGTTTTCCATCAAATTTCGTACTTTTGGTGTCATTATGACTGGGAAAAGATTCTCTATCTTTTCATAAGAAAAAATATTTTTTTTTTTTAAACTAGGGCGACCCTGAGAACAAGTCTGGGAGAGGGCCTGGGGACTCTGAAAGGGTTAAGGGGAAGTGCAAAACCCAGATGGGCCATACACCAATCGGGTAATGGAAGGCAATCAGGCTGGATCCAAGAAAAAAGATTCAGTCTAATTCCTTCGATCAAGAGCCCTTCAATATCAAGGAATTTATGTAAAAACTGCAAATAGAGAGATCCAAATTTGGCCAAAAGTTTGTGAAGTTTGTAAATACGTAGTGGATCAAAATTTGTAAAAATTTTGGAAATAACATGACCAAAAAATCTGTGCCTCAATCCATCCACACAAACAAAAATTCTATTTTTTCCCCTCTCCTACCAAGGTAAGGTGAATAAGCACAAACATTAAATTATTTAATAGTCATGTTGACTGAAGTACATGGACATCACAATTTACAATACCCTCTGAACCACACCTCTACTTACACTTCAGTGCAAGCACTGCCTTTGCAATACACCAGATTATACATATTAGTATATTGTATAGCTTCTAAGAAATGCACCTTCCGTGTACCAGATGTAAAAAGATCTATATTTCTATCTCCATATCTATCTATATCTCAGTCTACAGCACATCTCCGTCTACCTGTATAGCCCCATCTACCTGTATATCTCCATCTATCTATCTATATCTATCTCTAACAAAGATACACCAATGTTTGGGTTGTGTCCAATTAGGTCACGTTACATGTCAGGCATGACAAATGGTCATAACTACAACTGTCAAACTTTCATCAGTTAGTTTTGGTTCTAAATTAAGTCTGCCCAAAATGCTGTTCATAATTATAGGCATCTTTTTTAAATTTAAACATACCATTAACATTTGTAACCATTATGTAGTATTTAAACGAAACATTAACAAATCACGAGAGGCACTCCAACAAATAAAATTAAAAGGAAAAAAAAATCAATATTGGTATGTAATATCAGCCATCTCCTACTAAGGTAGGGTGCCCCATAAAAGAAGAAACACATTCACCGTCATTCAGTCAATCATTGTCTTGCCAGAAGCATGTGGATGTCACAGCTCAGATACTTCCATAACTGCAACATCCCCATAGACACTGTACTTCCCACCTCCAGGACTCAAGCTCAACTAACCAGCTTCCCTGAATCCCTTCATAAATGCTACCTTGCTCACATTCAAACAGAACACATCATAAAAACCACTTGACTCCACTCAAACCCGCCAAACATGTTCACTTAATAAGCCTATTCGATGTCCAAGCCCCAAGCACTCAAAACCACCCTTACCCCTTCTCTCCATCCCTTCTTGGGATGACTCCTAGCCCTCCTTCCCTCTACCCCAGATTTATATGCCCTGCTAGTCATCCTATTTTAAAATTCTATCCTCTCCACATCCAAATCACCTAAACACCCCCTCCTCCAATCTGTAATACTTTTCGTAACCCTGCACTTCTTTAATCTCCAAGCTATGAATTCTCTGATAATATGAACACCACACACTGCCCTGAAGCATGACATCCCCACTGCCTCCAACCTCCTCCCCTCTGCTGCAATATTTGAAATCCCATTGCTCATACCCATACAACATCACTGGTACCATTATACTCTAGTACATTCCCCTGTTTGCCTCCAAGGATAAGCTTGTCTCCACAGATGCTTCAATGCACTATCCACCACTTTTTTTTTTTTTTTACTCCTTATCAATTCTAAATTTCGACTCGTCTTTTCATAGACCCATTTGCCGATAAGTTCACTACCAAATATCTAAAATTTACTTCCTCCATACTCCCTCCCTGCAATATGATAATCTTTCACTGCCTGAATTTTCTGCTACTCTCATTACCTTGATCTTTCCTATGTTCACTTTTAATTACTGTACATATATTTAGATAAAGGTAGGGAAGTTTTTATTGCATTTATGGATTTAGAAAAGGCATATGATAGAGCGGATAGAGGAGCAATGTGGCAGATGTTGCAAGTATATGGAATAGGTGGTAAGTTATAAAATGCTGTAAAGAGTTTTTATGAGGATAGTGAGGCTCAGGTTAGGGTGTGTAGAAGAGAGGGAGACTATTTCCCGGTAAAAGTAGGTCTTAGACAGGGATGTGTAATGTCACCATGGATGTTTAATATATTTATAGATGGGGTTGTAAAGGAAGTAAATGCTAGGGTGTTCGGGAGAGGGGTGGGATTAAATTTTGGGGAATCAAATTCAAAATGGGAATTGACACAGTTACTTTTTGCTGATGATACTGTGCTTATGGGAGATTCTAAAGAAAAATTGCAAAGGTTAGTGGATGAGTTTGGGAATGTGTGTAAAGGTAGAAAGTTGAAAGTGAACATAGAAAAGAGTAAGGTGATGAGGGTGTCAAATGATTTAGATAAAGAAAAATTGGATATCAAATTCGGGAGGAGGAGTATGGAAGAAGTGAATGTTTTCAGATACTTGGGAATTGACGTGTCGGCGGATGGATTTATGAAGGATGAGGTTAATCATAGAATTGATGAGAGAAAAAAGGTGAGTGGTGCGTTGAGGTATATGTGGAGTCAAAAAACGTTATCCATGGAGGCAAAGAAGGGAATGTATGAAAGTATAGTAGTACCAACACTCTTATATGGGTGTGAAGCTTGGGTGGTAAATGCAGCTGCGAGAGACGGTTGGAGGCAGTGGAGATGTCCTGTCTAAGGGCAATGTGTGGTGTAAATATTATGCAGAAAATTCGGAGTGTGGAAATTAGGAAAAGGTGTGGAGTTAATAAAAGTATTAGTCAGAGGGCAGAAGAGGGGTTGAGGTGGTTTGTCATTTAGAGAGAATGTATCAAAGTAGAATGACATGGAAAGCATATAAATCTATAGGGGAAGGAAGGTGGGGTAGGGGTCGTCCTCGAAAGGGTTGGAGAGAGGGGGTAAAGGAGGTTTTGTGGGCAAGGGGCTTGGACTTCCAGCAAGCGTGCGTGATCGTGTTAGATAGGAGTGAATGGAGACGAATGGTACTTGGGACCTGACGATCTGTTGGAGTGTGAGCAGGGTAATATTTAGTGAAGGGATTCAGGGAAACCGGTTATTTTCATATAGTCGGACTTGAGTCCTGGAAATGGGAAGTACAATACCTGCACTTTAAAGGAGGGGTTTGGGATATTGGCAGTTTGGAGGGATATGTTGTGTATCTTTATATGTGTATGCTTCTAAACTGTTGTATTCTGAGCACCTCTGCAAAAACAGTGATAATGTGCGAGTGTGGTGAAAGTGTTGAATGATGATGAAAGTATTTTCTTTTTGGGGATTTTCTTTCTTTTTTTTGGGTCACCCTGCCTCGGTGGGAGACGGCCGACTTGTTGAAAAAAAAAAATTATACACTTTTTTTTTAACACACTGGTCATCTCCAGAGGCAGGGTGACCCCCCTCCCCCCTCACTCCCCAAAAAACTTTCAGCATCATTCACACTATCACCGTCTTTGCAGAGGCATGCAGCTACGACAGTTTAGATGTCACTAAACATCAAACATTCCAAACCCGCTCCTTTAACGTGCTGGCATTGTATTTTTCACCTTCAGGACTCAAGTCCAGCTAATCAGTTTCCCTGAATCCCTGAGAAAATTATTACCCTACTCACACTCCAACAGCTCGTCAAGTCCCAAAAATCATTCATCTCTACTCATTACTATCCAACACATACACATGCCTCCTGTATGTCCAAGCCCCTTCCATCCTTTCGACAACCCCTTCCCCTTTGTTTTACACGATGGTAGAAATGCTGGTGTGTCTTTTCTGTCTCATAAACCCAATCTTTTCTGTCTCATAAACCCAAAGATAACAGGTACATCTTGCTACTTTTACTTACACTTAGCTCACACTACATATGCATGTACACATTTATGCATACACACTCATCTGTTCTCTTTTTCTTAACAGTTCTTATTACTTCCTTTCATATCCATGGGGAAGTGGAATGAGAATCTTTACTCCATAAGCCAAGCGTGTCGTAAGACAACTATAAAGCCAGGAGCAATAGACTAGTTACCCCTTCTTCTGTATAGCTTACTAATTATAAAAAACTATGTACAGTGGACCCCTGGTTAACGATATTTTTTCACTCCAGAAGTATGTTCAGGTGCCAGTATTGACCGAATTTGTTCCCGTAAGGAATATTGTGAAGTAGATTAGTCCATTTCAGACCCCCAAACATACACGTACAAACGCACTTACATAATTGGTCGCATTCGGAGGTGATCGTTATGCGGGGGTCCACTGTATATACATTTTTTATTTATTTATTATTATCACACTGGCCGATTCCCACCAAGGCAGGGTGGCCCGAAAAAGAAAAACTTTCACCATCATTCAATCCATCACTGTCTTGCCAGAGGGGTGCTTTACACTACAGTTTTTAAACTGCAACATTAGCACCCTTCCCATCTCCAGAACTCAAGTCTGGCCTGCCGGTTTCCCTGAACCCCTTCATAAATGTTACTTTGCTCACACTCCAACAGCACGTCAAGTATTAAAAACCACTTGTCTCCATTCACTCCTATCAAACACGCTCACGCATGCCTGCTTGAAGTCCAAGCCCCTCGCACACAAAACCTCCTTTACCTCCTCCCTCCAGCCTTTCCTAGGCCGACCCCTACCCCGCCTTCCTTCCACTACAGACCGATACACTCTTGAAGTCATTCTGTTTCGCTCCATTCTCTCTACATGTCCGAACCACCTCAACAACCCTTCCTCAGCCCTCTGGACAACAGTTTTGGTAATCCCACACCTCCTCCTAACTTCCAAACTACGAATTCTCTGCATTATATTCACACCACACATTGCCCTCAGACATGACATCTCCACTGCCTCCAGCCTTCTCCTCGCTGCAACATTCATCACCCATGCTTCACACCCATATAAGAGCATTGGTAAAACTATACTCTCATACATTCCCCTCTTTGCCTCCAAGGACAAAGTTCTTTGTCTCCACAGACTCCTAAGTGCACCACTCACCCTTTTCCCCTCATCAATTCTATGATTCACCTCATCTTTCATAGACCCATCCGCTGACACGTCCACTCCCAAATATCTGAATACATTCACCTCCTCCATACTCTCTCCCTCCAATCTGATATCCAATCTTTCATCACCTAATCTTTTTATCCTCATAACCTTACTCTTTCCTGTATTCACTTTTAATTTTCTTCTTTTGCACACCCTACCAAATTCATCCACCAATCTCTGCAACTTCTCTTCAGAATCTCCCAAGAGCACAGTGTCATCAGCAAAGAGCAACTGTGACAACTCCCACTTTATGTGCGATTCTTTATCTTTTAACTCCACGCCTCTTGCCAAGACCCTCGCATTTACTTCTCTTTCAACCCCATCTATAAATATATTAAACAACCACGGTGACATCACACATCCTTGTCTAAGACCTACTTTTACTGGGAAATAATCTCCCTCTTTCCTACATACTCTAACTTGAGCCTCACTATCCTCGTAAAAACTCTTCACTGCTTTCAGTAACCTACCTCCTACACCATACACCTGCAACATCTGCCACATTGCCCCTCTATCTACCCTGTCATATGCCTTTTCCTAATCCATAAGTGCCACAAAGACCTCTTTAGCCTTATCTAAATACTGTTCACTTATATGTTTCACTGTAAACACCTGGTCCACACACCCCCTACCTTTCCTAAAGCCTCCTTGTTCATCTGCAGGTATATACATACCTGCATAAATTGTCTATTTTCTTCTTGGCGTCTGCGGAGCTCCTCCTCTTGTTGACGAAATTTTAATGACAATTCCTCCTCCTGGCGTCTCTGTCTCTCCTCTTCTACACGGCGATGCTCCTCCCATTCTCTCTGGCGCTGTTCATAATCTGATTTGGTTCGCTGATTCATCTCTTCCCTTTGGCGCAGCTCTGGAAGAGATTCAAGACATTTCGAGATAAATTTACAATTCATAGTCCAATTCAATATAGGTACAAGGAAATTAGAATTTCTCAAGTGAAAGATGCTTAAATTCTAAATGCTTTCCTGGTCTTTAACCCTTTCACTGTCCAGACCCCCTAATCTAAGAATTTGCACCCAGTGTCGAAGAATTAAAAAAAAAAATTCTCATGAAATGATAAGAGAATCTTTTTCTGAAGGTAATGAAAGCAAAAATGCGAGATTTGACGGAAAATTGATGAAATTATGCTTTCGGGAATTTTGCTATGTCAGCAGTATCTACGCATCAGTGATTTTGCCCACCGAATCCTATTTTGCATCGTTTTGTTTTGCATTGTTTCAGTCAACCAAGATATATTACAGAAACAGAGATGATTTTGATAGGTTTCATGACTGAAAAATAGCTTGAAACTGAGCTCCAAGTAGCAGAAATGTTTAATTTTTTGCCGATATTAAAGATTAAACAAATCACATGACTCATCCAAAACATGTCCAACTAGTGGGTCTAATATGCGTTCACGAATGCAATGATATTGTTTATACAATTATTACAATATCGCTAAACAGTAAATCCTCTATTCTTGTGTGTGAATAAAAATGCTTTGTGACAAAAAATCAAAATGGAACTCACATGCAGAGCCTGGAAATGTAACTAATGAACAGAGAAAATGATAAGTGCCAGGAATGCCTGCACTGTTTATTTTAAGCCCTATTTTGAAATTAGAATATTTTGAAATTTGTATGAAACTGGCCAAATTATCAATTTCTGATCACTTTATTAGGTAGTTGAAATAGTTGATTAGGCAGTTTTTTGTGCTCAGTTGATAAAATGGAAGACATACTAGCAAAATAGCCAAGAATTTGGTCGACTTGAACAATGTACAGTGGAACCCCGGTATATGATATTAATCCGTTCGTGAGAGCTCATCGTATACCAAAATTATCGGAAGGCTAATTAATTTTCCCCATAAGAAATAATGGAAATCAAATTAATCCGTGCAAGACACCCAAAAGTACTATGAAAAAAGAGTTTTACCACATGAAATATTAAGTTTAATGCACACAAACTGAAGAAGACATACACAGTTAGTAGTACTCTACTAACAATAGAATACATGACACTTACCTTTAATGAAGATCTGGTGATGATTGATGGGATGGGAGGAGGGGAAAGTATCAAACTTATTGTTTAGAAGGGGAATCCCCTTCCATTAGGACTTGAGGTAGCAAGTCCTTTTCCAGGGTTACTAGGACCAGCTTGAAAGTCACTGGACCTCTGTCGCACAACAAATCTGTCCACAGAGGTCTGTACCTCCCGTTCCTTTAAGATTTGTCTAAAATGGGCCACAACATTGTCATTGTAATAGTCACCAGCACGGCTTGCAATAGCTGTGTTAGGGTGATTTTCATCCATAAAGGTTTGCAGTTCAACCCACTTTGTGCACATTTCCTTAATTTTTGAAGTAGACACAATGGATTCCACAAAAGGCATAGGCTTCTCAGGGTTAGCCCCAAACCCTTCAAAATCTTTCTTAATTTCCATATTAATTCTCACCTTTTTACCACAGGGTTGGCACTAGAAGCTTTCTTGGGGCCCATGGTGACTTATTTTGCAGAAACAAGCACCAAAAACAATGTGATAATATGGAATGTACTGAATGTATGCTTAGATGTGAGCACACTCCCTGGCTTGTAAACACTGGCATGCACGGGGCAGTTCAGGCCACATGTGGACGCGTCCTGGACGAATCGTGTGTGGCGGGTTTTTTAACAAGTGGCGAGGCAAAATTTTTGCATTAAAATGTATCGTATACCGATGCCATCGTATGCTGGGGGTCCACTGCCATTGGCCTAAAATTGGACTCAAATTCGGCAAAATCGCCGACGCCTAAATATTGATGACAGCAAAATTTCATCAATTTTCCATCAAATTTTGTACTTTTTCTTTTATTACTGTCAGAAAAAGATTTTCTACCATTTCATAAAAAAAAAAACTGAAAATTCTTGGACAGTGTGGATAAGTTTCAGGTCGGGGGTCTGGACAGTGAAAGGGTTAAGAACACCAAATGTTTAACTGTCAAGTATTTAGGAACAAACTGGTTTCCTATCGAGTAGAGTAATTAGAAGCTGAATTCTTAGTCCTTCATGACAGTGGACATTCAGAAATGGTAGTTTTTCTAACTCCAAACTCAATAAATCTTATGGTAGGAGCAACACTAATAAAAACTTACTTTAATCTTTATTCTTGGGCCATAAACAAAACAATTACAGCCTCTCCTCATTTAGCGACGTACTCGTTTACCGACAACTTGGACTTATGAAGGGCTCACTGACCACTATGCGTACTTTAATGTATATTAGAGCTGATTTCCTCTTCCGTTTATTACCAGATACAGTACACAACTGTATAAACACAGCTGAATGGCTATACATGCTTGTGTGATCTGAGGCAACTCATGATCACTTCTCAAGTGTATATTATTTTCTACATGGGGAAGTGGAACAGAATTCTTCCTCCATAAGCCATGTCATAACAGGCGACTAACATGCCGGGAGTAAGGGGCTAGTATAGTACTGTATACATTACTGAAGCTAAAAACAGAAACTTTTGCTTTTCTTTTTGGGCCACCCTGCCTCGGTGGGATTCAGCTGGTTAATTGAAAGAGTTGTATAAACATTTAACCCTTTCAGGGTTTCCGACGTGCTAGTACAGCTTACACACCAGGGGTAGTGACATACTAGAACGCCTAGTGAGAGAAAGCTGGTAGGCCTACATATGAAAGAATGGGTCTATGTGGTCAGTGTGCACAGTATAAAAAAAATCCTGCAGCACACAGTGCACGAGAAAAAAAAACTCCAACCGTGCTTTTGGTTTAAAACAGCAACTTTGCAGTGTATTTTCATATGGTATTTATGGTTGTATTTTAGTTTTCCTGGTCTCATTATATAAAATGGAAGACATATTACAGAAATTGAGATGATTTTGATTGGTTTCATAAGGAAAAGTACCTTGAAATTGAGCTCAAAGTAGCAGAAATGTTCGATTTTTACCAAATTTCATAAGTAAACAAATCATGCCAAGCGTCCAGTACATGTCAACTGGCGAGTCTAATATTATTTCACAAGTGCGCTGATATTATTTATACCATTTTTACACTAATGCAGTAGTCTGCATAACAGTAAATCTACTATTTTTTTGTGAGAATAAAAGTTCAAATTGGAAAGCAAAAGAGATGTAAGAGGGGCCTGGGGATGTGACTAATGAACAGAAAATGTTATTTTAGTGCCAGGAATGTCTGTCTTGCTTATTCTGGACCCTATTTGGAAATTGGCATCTTCTGAAATTTGTGTGAAATTGTCAAAATTACCAATTTCTGACCACTTTATTGGATACTTGAAATTGGTAAATGGGTGGTTTCTTTTACTCATTTGAAAGAAAAAATGAAGTTCTAACAAAATAGATATGATTTTTGTCGACTAGTACACTGAAAGTGGCCGAAAACAGAGTTCAAAGTGGGCGAAATTGTTGATGTGTTAACATCGCCGAGACGGCTAACTTTGCAAGAACATAATTCCACAAATTTTCCATCAAATTTCATACTTTTGGTGTCATTATGATCGGGGAAAGATTCTATCATTTCATAAGATTTTTTTTTTTTTTTCCCAAAAAATTTTCGACCCTGAGAACGAGTTTAGGAGAGGGCCTCTCGACCCTGAAAGGGTTAAAAATATACCAGAAATTTTATAAATGGTGCAAAGGTGACATTAAAACAATATCAAATGATGAATGAAACAAACCCACTACCATTATCGTATGCTCCTCAGTTTGCGATGAATTCGTTTACCTATGTAGTCTTAGGAGCGGAACTCCTGTTGTTAAGTGAGGAGAGGCTGTATTGTCATTTAGATTGGAAAGGTATAAAAGCTTTCATAGTAACCCCTTCTCCTGTATACATTACTAAATTTAAAAGAGAAACTTTTGTTCCTGTTAGGTCACCCTGCCTCAGTGGAATATGGCCAGTTTGCTTGGAAGAGGGGGGGGGGGAGGATAAAAAAAAAACTTTCGTATACTCACGTTCTCTAAGCATTTCTGTTTCGTGCTCATATTTAGCATATTCTATCTGTTCCTCCAATTTCCTTTTTTCATCCTGCAACTCTTTATCCAAAGCATCTTTCTTCTTGTCGAAAAGTTCATAGAGCTGCTTCCACTTCAAGCCATACCTAAGTGCAAGTAAATATACAAATTACAGTATATATATATGCACCACAAGTGATATCCATTAGTATATTAAATTTTAAAGTAGAATACTGTAACAAAATATGAAACTCCTCACTCAAATTCAAACGATCCTGGATGTGCAAAACGTGGCCCTTGCTGTCGTTCTTTCACGTACTCGGGATTACGTTTGTTTACATTTAACTCACTCATGCCTTCGTTGTCATCAACTAAAGCCATCTGTTCAACAATGACTGGACGGGGAGATCTGCAAGAAAAAATAAGAAAATGACTGAGCAATTTATAATATACTAATTAAATCATCTGCTATGCAATGCCTACTCATTTACCTTCCTAATGGTCAAACCATTCTAACCATTTATTTTAATCTAATGATAAACTGTACCTTGAAGACTACTTGCTCTGAAGGCCCACATTTTTTTTTACTCAACTATTCAGCTTTACTGCAAGACAAAATTTAACTGAATATTTTTTTTAACAAGTTGGCTGTCTCCCACCGAGGCAGGATGGCCCAATAAAAGAAAGAAAATCCCCAAAAAGAAAATACTTTCATCATCATTCTTTTCATCATCATTCAAGACTTTCACCTCACTCACACATAATCACCGTTTTTGCAGAGGTGCCCAAAAATAACTGGACTTGAGTCCTGGAAATGGGAAGTACAATGCCTGCACTTTAAAGGAGGGGTTTGGGATATTGGCAGTTTGGAGGGATATGTTGTGTATCTTTATACGCATATGCTTCTAAACTGTTGTATTCTGGGCACCTCTTCAAAAACAGTGATTATGTATGAGTGAGGCGAGTGTTGAATGATGATGAAAGCATTTTCTTTTTGGGGATTTTCTTTCTCTTTGGGTCACCCTGCCTTGGTGGGAGATGGCCAACTGGTTAAAAAAAAAAAAAAATGTTAACTTAGTATGAGCAAGGGAGCAATCAAGAACAAATACTTACGATACCATGAAGAAACAACCTTCATTGCATTTTTTGAGTGCCAAATTTGCAGATGGTTTCTTACAGAATTCAACTATGCCTTCACCAGTAGCACGACCCCGCTCATCAGTAATAACTATAGCTTTCTCCAACTCTCCGAACACCTAAAGAAAAATCATATATAGTACAACTATGCAGTTACATTAGCAATTCTTGTGACGTCCTACATTATCTGTACATCGTATATTACCTATTGTGAAGTATATTTGTACATGTACAAAGCTATGCTTGTAGCTGTGATAAGTAATAATTCTTTTGTAACCAGACTGGTGGAATATCCCATACTAGATATGAATTTTTTTTTTGAAGTTTAAATAGAATAATTACTCTTACTTATCCCTGCGTTGGTGAGATATGGGTGGTTCGCTGACAAAAAAAAAAACTGCTACTTTAACCTTTTCAGGGTTTCCGACGTACTAGTACGGCTTACGCACCAGGGTTGACGTACTAGTACGCCTAAATTCTAGCAAGAGAAAGCTGGTAGGCCTACATATGAAAGAATGGGTCTGTGGTCAATGTGCACAGTATAAAAAAATTCCTACAGCACACAGTGCATAATGAGAAAAAAAAATGACTTTTTGGTTTAAAACAACGACTTCACACTGTATTTTCATATGGTATTTATGGTTGTGTTCTAGTTTTCCTGGTCTCATTTTATAAAATGAAAGACATATTACAGAAATTGAGATGATTTTGATTGGTTTCACAATGAAAAGTACCTTGAAATTGAGCTCAAAGTAGCAGAAATGTTCGATTTTTTCCAAAGTTCAAAAGTAAACAAATCATGCCACATGTCCAATACACATCAACTGGTGAGTCTAATATTCTTTCACAAGTGCACTGATATTATTTACACCACTTCTACACTAATGCAGTAGTCTGCATAACAGTAAATCTTCTATTTTTTTGGGAGAAAAATTCAAAGTGGAAAGCAAAAGAAATGTAAGAGGGGCCTGGGGACATGACTAATGAACAGAGGAAATGTTATTTTAGTGCCAGGAATGTCTGACTTGATTATTCTGGACCCTATTCTGAAATTGGCACCTTTTGAAATTTGTGTGAAATTGGCAAAATTGCCAATTTCTGACCACTTTGTAAGATAGCTTAAATTGGTAAATGGGTGGTTTCTTGTACTCATTCGATAGAATTAATGGAGTTCTAGTGAAGTAGTCATGATTTTTTGTTGACCAGTACACTGGAATTGGCCGAAAATAGGGCTCAAAGTGGGCGAAATCGCCGATGTGTAATCATCATCGAGAACGCTATCTCCGTGAGAGCACAATTCCGTAAGTTTTCCATCAAATTTCATACTTTTGGTGTCATTATGATCGGGAAAAGATTCTCTATCTTTTCATAATTTTTTTTTTTTTCCAAAAAAATTTTCGACCCTGAGAACAAATTTAGGAGAGGGCCTCTCGACCCTGAAGGGGGTTAATAGTTTGCCTTTTATTTTTCTTATGCTTTATAATGCTACTTTCCAGATTAGTCATTAATGGGGATACAACTAGAGCTTTTCTCCTCGAGATCTAAACATTTGCCCATCCATTTTTCTGGTACAGTATATTTATGAAAACTCGAGTTGATAAATTTTACACAAGATTTTGTTATCCTAACCTTTACACTCTAACAAACATACTAGTATGCAACTGACAAATGTGTATTCAACATACTAACATACACAACTTTTTGTACCTTCAAATCTACCACCTACTAATATTAGATAAAAATCTAAGGCCAAGAGGGTCCACACATTGCATTATGGTTAACTACACAGGTGATGATTATGTCCACTGTATTAGTACAGTGGTCCCTCAATAATCATCTGGCCTGAAAGTCGTCCATTTCGGAAATAGTCCTGTTTTTTCATCTAAATATTGGCTCGCAAATGGTCCGGTAACTCGCTAATACAGTGGACCCCCGCATAATGATCAGCTCCCAACTCGACTAATTATGTAAGTGTACTTTTGTAAGTGCTTTTGTAGGTGTATTTTTAGGGGTCTGAAACGGACTAATCTAATTCACAATATTTCTTATGGGAACAAATTCGGTCTATAACGGCACCCAAACAGACTTCTGGATTGAAATAATATCGTCATGCGGGGTCCACTGTAGTCCTAATAGTCCTTCGTCCCAGACGCGTACTCACGCTTTGAGCCGCCTCGGCCTTTCCTTCCCAGCCACCAGTGTGCCATTGTTTACCAGTGAGTGACGGTCCCCTCACATGCTCCTACGAAATATTTCATGATATTCCATTGATTTTAGTGCTTGCAAGTGCTAAATAAGCTACCATGGCTCCAAATAAAGCTTCTAGTAAAGAATGTGAGAAACACAATTTATGAAAAAGTTTGTAGAAAAATACAAAGATGGTGGCGGTAGAGTGGAAGCAGTTGTTATAGTGGTTGATGAACATAAGAAAGGAGGATCACTGCAGCAGGTCTGTTGGCCCATGCTCGGCAGGTCCTTTACAATTCATCCCACTAACGAAACATTTTCCCAACCCAGTCCTCAATGCTACCCAAGAAATAAGCTCTGATAACTCGATCCACTCATTTGCAATTCCCAAATGAGTGTTCAGAGCTTATTTCAGAGTTATCAGAGCTTATTTCTTGGGTAGCATTGAGGACTGGGTTGGGAAAATGTTTCGTTAGTGGGGTGATTTGTAAAGGACCTGCCAAGCATGGGCCAACAGGCCTGCTGCAGTGATCCTCCTTTCTTATGTTCATCAACCACTATAACAACTGCTTCCACTCTACCACCACCATCTTTGTATTTTTCTACAAATTTTTTCATAAATTATGTGTTTCTTACATTCTTTACCAAAGGGCTGGCACTAGAAGCTTTCCACTAGAAGCTTTCTTTGGTGGTAGTGATGGTGGTAGAAGGTAGTAGTGATGGTGGTAGAAGGTAGCAGTGATGGTGGTAGAAGGTAGCAGTGATGGTGGTAGAAGGTAGCAGTGATGGTGGTAGAAGGTAGCAGTGATGGTGGTAGAAGGTAGCAGTGATGGTGGTAGAAGGTAGCAGTGATGGTGGTAGAAGGTAGCAGTGATGGTGGTAGAAGGTAGCAGTGATGGTGGTAGAGGGTAGCAGTGATGGTGGTAAAAGGTAGCAGTGATGGTGGTAAAAGGTAGCAGTGATGGTGGTAGAAGGTAGCAGTGATGGTGGTAGAAGGTAGCAGTGATGGTGGTAGAAGGTAGCAGTGATGGTGGTAGAAGGTAGCAGTGATGGTGGTAGAAGGTAGCAGTGATGGTGGTAGAAGGTAGCAGTGATGGTGGTAGAAGGTAGCAGTGATGGTGGTAGAAGGTAGCAGTGATGGTGGTAGAAGGTAGCAGTGATGGTGGTAGAAGGTAGCAGTGATGGTGGTAGAAGGTAGCAGTGATGGTGGTAGAAGGTAGCAGTGATGGTGGTAGAAGGTAGCAGTGATGGTGGTAGAAGGTAGCAGTGATGGTGGTAGAAGGTAGCAGTGATGGTGGTAGAAGGTAGCAGTGATGGTGGTAGAAGGTAGCAGTGATGGTGGTAGAAGGTAGCAGTGATGGTGGTAGAAGGTAGCAGTGATGGTGGTAGAAGGTAGCAGTGATGGTGGTAGAAGGTAGCAGTGATGGTGGTAGAAGGTAGCAGTGATGGTGGTAGAAGGTAGCAGTGATGGTGGTAGAAGGTAGCAGTGATGGTGGTAGAAGGTAGTAGTGATGGTGGTAGAAGGTAGTAGTGATGGTGGTAGAAGGTAGTAGTGATGGTGGTAGAAGGTAGTAGTGATGGTGGTAGAAGGTAGTAGTGATGGTGGTAGAAGGTAGTAGTGATGGTGGTAGAATGTAGTAGTGATGGTGGTAGAAGGTAGTGGTGATGGTGGTAGAAGGTAGTGGTGATGGTGGTAGAAGGTAGTGGTGATGGTGGTAGAAGGTAGTGGTGATGGTGGTAGAAGGTAGTGGTGATGGTGGTAGAAGGAGTAGTGATGGTGGTAGAAGGAAGTAGTGATGGTGGTATAAGGTAGTAGTGATGGTGGTATAAGGTAGTAGTGATGGTGGTAGAAGGTAGTGGTGATGGTGGTAGAAGGTAGTGGTGATGGTGGTAGAAGGTAGTGGCGATGGTGGTAGAAGGAAGTAGTGATGGTGGTAGAAGGTAGTAGTGATGGTGGTAGAAGGTAGTAGTGATGGTGGTAGAAGGTAGCAGTGATGGTGGTAGAAGGTAGCAGTGATGGTGGTAGAAGGTAGCAGTGATGGTGGTAAAAGGTAGCAGTGATGGTGGTAGAAGGTAGCAGTGATGGTGGTAACAGTTGTAATAGTGGTAGAAGGTCATAGTGATGGTGGTAGTGGGTTACTTCTTTAGTGATTCAGTGATTCTACCAACTCCTCCAATGTTGTTGGAGTTATACAGGGCTACAAAAACCACCGCCGACTCAGCTGCTGCTTCACCACCATTATGGACGGCTTACACTCAGTGGCCCTTATATACCCAACAACACAATACAACACCTCTCGTGACATACGTAATGACTTACTTGATTCATTCTAGAGTATATTCCATGTTTCTATGTTATTAATATTGTTTATTATGTCATATTAGTTGAATTGTGATAGATAAATAACCATAGAGTTGATATTAGTGTCATATTCTCCAACAATAAACTTGTCATCCCTCCCTCACACAAACAAATAGCCAATAAGAACATAACAATGGAAGAACACTGCAGGTCTACTGGCCCACACAAGGCAGGTCCTTATCAAAATGACCTCCACCCAAAGCTACCCAAGAATTTACTCCCGTACCCAATGACACAAATCAAACTCAGCTCCTCCAACTCGTATATTTGTCCAATCTCTTCTTAAAGCTACCCAAGGTCCTAGCCTCGATCACCCTACTGGTAAGTGTGATGTTTGTAGATGAATGGTTCAGAGAACCGACATGTTGATAAATTAGGCACATGTGCAACTCTTGGGTATCTTTATTGATACCCAAGAGTTGCACATGTGCCTAATTTATCAAGTGTGATGTTAAATAAGAACTTAAGAAAGTAGGAACACTGCAACAGGCCTGCTGGCCCATACTAGGCCAGTCCTTCACAAATACAACACACTAACAGAACAAATGCTACCCAAGCAATAAGCTCAGG